CCAGCTAATGCAATAAGACAAGAAAAGGAAATAAAAGGTATACAGATTGGGAAGGAAGAAACAGAACCATCATTGTTCACAGATAACATATCATGACTGTTTATGTAGAAAATTAGGAAGAAACAACAGAAAAATTTCTAAGCAATTATAACAAGGTCACAGGATAAAAGTCTACATATGGAAGTCAATTGCTTTCCCATATGACAGCAATGGTAAAAACTACCAATTGTATCATCACCCTCCAAAATGAAATACTTAGGTATAAATCTAACAAAATTTGAAGGATATCCAAGAAGAACTGAATAACGAAGGATATCCAAGAAGAACTAAATAAATGGAGGTATATTCCATGTTCATGGATAGGAAAATGCAATAATGTTAAAATGTCAGTTCTTCCCAACTTGATCTATAGATTTAACATGAAGCTCAAACAAAATCTTAGCAGGTCTTTTTGTAGTTATTAAAAAAACTGATTCTAAGTTTACATGGAGAATAAAGAACTCTAAATAGTCAACAAAATATTAAAAGAGGAAAATGGAGTTAAAGGACTGAAACTATTCAACTTCAAAAATTAATATAAATCTACAATAATGAAGAGAGTATGGTATTGGCAAGAAAACTATTCTATATTATACTATAAAGGTAAATATGTATCATTATACATTTGTCAGAACCCTTGGAATGTACAAAGTGAACTTATCTAATGTAAACCATAGATTTTGGATAAGGGTAACGGTGCATCATTGCAGGTTTTCTGCTCACAAGAAATGTACAGCAGTTGTCTGAGATGTCTGTAGCGGTGAATGTTGTATGTATGGGAAATGAGATATATGGGAAAGTCTGTACTTTCATTTAATTTTGCTATGAACCTAAAAATGTCCTAAAAAATAAAACTTCTCTTTTAAAAAAGATAAACCATTGCACAAAGATTAGTTCTCACCATTATATGCAATATGGTTGGTGGTTAATATTGCAGACTCTTCAATCAAGCTGTTGGGGTTTAAATCCCAGTAACACTTTCCCTGGGACTCCATTTCTTCATCTATAAATGAAGATAACAAGGGTACCTATCTCAGAGTTTTAGAGAGAAGACAATGGAATTTAAATTGCTTACAACAGTGCATGTCTCATAATAAGTGTTAGTTCAGTAAATCTTAGTTAATATTTCTTTAACAAATTTAAAATTATTTTTATCTTCAATGTCTTAGGGAATTATCCAAGCCTCCTTGTAAGGTTGGAATGTTTCTCACCCTATGCATGAAACTGTAGCTCAGAGTAGCTCAGCCCAGGGTCTCACAACCAATAAGTCACACTCCAATACTCTATCCCTGGTTTTTGTCCTCCAAATCTTGTGCATGCTGATTTCTACTACCTTTTCCATCAACTTTCTAACCTGCAGGATACCCAAGTTTCATCATTGCCTTTTGTCTTATTTTTTTCCCTTTGCAGATTCTTAGCACAACACAGACAAGAGGCTGTGGGCAAGACAGTGAGTGCAGGGAGGAGCCTGGATACCTACTCCTATAACAAATACCACACCATGGGGGAGGTGAGCAAGGACCCATGGTGTGGTTGGTGGTGTCATGGCCTACTTGACGATGGGAGGGGATGGTTCACTGTTAGTGACCGTGGATTGGGGCTCAAAATGTGGTATTAAGATGCACCTGTGCACTTTCAAGGTATTCCCAAACTTCCCTGCCACCACTACCACTGTAGCTGCAAGACCTGGTGAGATAAAAAGGCAGATCACCAGGTGTGGTGGCTCCCACCTACAATCCTAGCACTTTTGGAGGCTGGGGCAGAAGGATCACTTGAAGTTAGGAGTTCAAGACAATCCTGGGCAGCATAGTGAGACCCGTCTCTATAAGAAAAAGAAAAATTAGCAGGTCATGGTGGCATGCACCTTGGTCCCAGCTACTCAGGAGGCTGTGGCAGGAGGATCACATGAGCTCAGGAGATTCTCAGTGACACAACTGTGTCTAGCCTGGGCAACAGAGTGAGACTGTCTCAAAAAAAGAGGACAGGAACATCCCAGTGAGTAAGTTTTGCTGGTGCGAATGTGAACAGAATTAATTAACCATTATTTTCGTTTGCAGGTTTAAGCAGGGTGGGGTTGGTGTTCGTGTGGGTGTGAGATAGGAGATGGAGAAGACTTCTGATTGAATGGCATTTAGCTGAAAATGCAGTATTTCTTGGACGAAGCAAGGGGCATGGGCAGCAGTTCTTAAGAAAATTTTTTTCTTATTTTAGGAAATATTTGTGGTGCTACTAAGATAAGTTTGATGGTTTCCAAAACTAGATCCAGTGAAAAATTGGCTACCGTATGACATATATATGCATGTGTGTTGCATATGTATGTGTGTGACATTATGCATTTTTTGAGATGTAAATTTTAAAAAATGGAATTGCTGGGTTGAAGGATGTGCATATCTAAATTTTTGATATAAACATACAAGTTGTCCTCCCAACAGGCTTTACCAGTTTCTTCTCTTAGCATTTGGGAAGATATTGATATTTTCCAGAATTTTTTGCAAAGGCTATAGGAAAGAATTTACATTTTTTTCTGTAATCACCCCAAGCAATCACCCCAAGTACTGAAGGTTCTATGGTTTGGAGCAAAGTCCAGTATGGCCCATGGAAACCTTATGCTGTGGTGTCATGGATGGGTTCATACTTGACTTGACCACTTGCTGGCTATATGACCTTGACTAAGGCATTTAGCCTCTCTGGCCCTTAGTGTCATCATCTGTGAGATAGGAATAGTAGTATCTATCCTGTAGCATTGTTGTGGAGTAAACTAAATAAGCTATACCACTATAGTACAGATTAAGCAATAAGCATGTAACAGCTGCTGCTGCTATGAGGTGCTATTTATAGCTCTCCCAAGACATAAGGCACTTGCATCTGACCTAGTCCCATCAGGGGTGCACATATGACAGCCATGTGATAAGTTATTATTCTTTCAATTGACAGGCTATATTGAAAATACCCTACTTAAGTATCATCACCATTTTAACAGTGCATTTTATCTATAGAGATTCCATGCTAAGATGAATGGTAATTGAGAAAAATTTTCAAATAGGATATGTGTTATCCCCAATTAACTATTATTTGCCATAACTCTTGGTTGTTGTCATTCAGAGATGTAAAGTCCAAGAAATATAGAAATTGAGTGTGAGAGGTGTCCTGTAAGATGGTGATGACTGTCTGAATATGTGAATTCTCTGATTACATTCACCCTGTGGAACCCCAAGTTGTGGACTTCCAGGTCATGGCATGAGACTTTCTCAGCATGGTATAAAACTGGTAATTAAATCAACACATATGCAGGTCTACTCTGTTGAACCAAAAAGGCTAATTGGGGCTTTTTAGAAAAAATAGTTGGCGTGTCCTGGAAAGGTCATACTCAGGTCTTCCCTAATCTTGGAACCATGGAGCAGAGGATATTATAGGAATCCATAAAGACAGAAGAAGAACCTGCAAATTAAGCCTGACCTGGAATTCCCGGCATGATTGTGTGCCAAGGGAAACCTGGTAATAAGTCATTGCGTTATTTTATTGGCAAATTTTTGAAATTGTTAATTCTCAGTAACTTATTTGTAAAGTTCAACAAGGGTGTCCTACGACTTAGTAGCAGAGTAGATCTTTAAAGAAAAGGAAAGGCAGAAAGTAATAAATTCATTGGTTTAGTTTCCTGTTTTGTTCATCATGCAGCCGTTGCAATCTAAGCAAAAGAAGGCAGAGTTCAATGTCTCAGTGAAAGACATAGTTATCCTAATCAGAGGCAGGCAAATGATCTTCCTGTTGATTGCCACAGTCCTCCCTGGCTGTTCCAGATCTATCAGTGGATGAGCCAGATCAGTGAGGAGTACGCGGAAGTGGTGACACAGCATTTCCTAGGAATGACCTATGAGGCCCGGCCCATGTATTATCTGAAGGTGAGCAAGATGATTGCCTTACCGGAAGAATTACCCAATCCAGAGATATTCGTCTTCTACTCAATTGCTTTGGCCAGAAGTGTGGTAAAGTTTAATAGAAGCAATACAGAGTGACTTTGCCTTCTCCACCCCTAACTGGGCATTTAAACGTCAAAACTCCTAGATGCTTATGCCTTAATCACTGGGATGGAGTCATGTTTAGGAGTAAAGAGAATCGGGATGCATGGGAGGGACCACAGGGGGTAGAACTGAAAAACAGCATGGCCTAGAAGTGGACAATGCCCACTCATACTTCAACCAGACAAGTGCACTTTTAGTCTGTATTTTAAGTTGTTGTTTTATTTCTTTTTTTTGTAAAATGTTATTCTTTTTTAAAAAACAGAATTTTTTCCATAAAAAAATGTTTGAATACTATAGAAAATGTTCATTTGGGGTTCCTTTTATACTTACGTGAATAAGACCCAGAGAAGTAAGGGGAGTTGTGAAAGGGCACACGGCAAAGTAGCAGCATAACCAGGAGATAAATAGGACTCCAGAATCCCCTACCTCTTTTGCACGCACATTACAATCACCCAGGGAGCTGCCAAGTAATCCTGATGCCTGGGCCCCTCGTAATTAGATTAGAGATTCTGAACTAATAATTCCAGGGTGGGCCCAGGAATGCTTTGAAAACTCCCCAGGTGATCCTAATGTGTAGCCAGCATTTACAACCTCTGCACCAACCGGTGTTTCTCAAATGGTGGTCTATGTTTCAGCAGCATCAACATCATCTTGGGAATTATTAGAAATGCACGTTCTCAGGTCCCATGGGGTCTACTAGAGGGGTCTAAGTGAGGGAAGCCGAACAGTCTGTTTTAATGAGCCCTCTTTCAGGTGATTCTAATACTCACTCAAGTTGTAAAACCACAGTGCATTTCTAACAAGTTCCCAGGTGACCCTGACACTCTTCAAGAACCGCTGCCAAAGTAGCCTGGCATTAAGAACTAGCATTATGTGTGTAGTTCACTACACTCTTAGTACTTAGTGTAGATGTGTTAATTTACAAGCCTCAGCACCTATTTTGAGAATTATTTACAATTACAAAAAATGTATTGGCTTTGAAATAGAACTCAGAGATTCTGTAAGTGATTGGTTGATATATTAAACACAGGGTGTTTGCTTTTTTGATTTACCATAGGCCCTCAATCTCTGAGCTAAGGCAGCCAAAAAGATAAACATGCTCTGTCCACAACTTATAATGAAGAATAGAATGAGGATGTAACAAGGAGGAAAAAAGATAAACATGCAATTAACATACACCATACTCATAAAAGGGGTAACTCTGAGAGAAAAATTAAGGTAAGAGGTGGATTAGGAATTGTCTAGGCAGCTTTGAAAAATAGGTGAGTCTAGAAGGAGAAAAGGCCTTGAATAGTAGGATAGATCCAGCCACACATTTATCTCAATTTGTGAGTTTCTCCTACAGAGGAAGAGAGCCTTCATCAGTCGGGCTCCCAATGGTTTTCAACAAATAGCACTGGCTTAGGTCATTTACAAATTCAAAACAGATGTGGCTGTTCCAAACATGGGCGCGTCCGCAGCATCTTCTGCACCAAAGAGAATCCACAGTTGCCAGATGAATTCCTACCTCCCCACTGCTCCGAAAAAGGAGGGGTCTTTCTTGCTGGAGTGAGGCCACACTGACGCACCAAAATAGCAAATGGAGAGAGACAAAAGAAGACAGGGCTGGCTGCGAGGAGGGTAGTTCCTAGGGGGAAGGGGGATTTATTAAGTGTTGCAGGAGATTGTGTGCTTGGATCCATTCAAAGTTACGAGAACTTTAAATGAATATCAGGGGTCATTTTTAAAAACCTTTGATTCTCAAACATTACCTCTCTCGCACTTTGCCACTCTGAGTGAACTTTAGGTGCAAAGAGTTTATAAGATTTATACACATTTAGCCTCTTGGCTTGTGACTGGTGGGGTGGGGAATGCTATGCCTTTATTTATATTTAGGGAATGATTTAGGGTATAGGGAAGACTGCTTTGGGGGCAGGTGTTGTGGGGAGTCAGTGCATGGTCCTGAGAACCACCACTAAGGCAGCTGGCAGCAGAACAAGAGTGGCAGAGGCAAAGGTCCTGTTGGTGGGTGTCTCCACCAGCAGTTTTGCCTCCTTCCTGATGCCACAGAGTGGAGTAAGAAAGGGACCTCCAGGAGAATAAAAATCCGGATAACTTTGCACAGTGGCTTACAATAATAAATAATTGTTTGGTAATCACTGGTGTCTCTCCCAGATCAGTCAACCATCCAGCGACCCCAAGAAGATCTTTTGGATGGACTGTGGAATTCACGTCAGGGAATGGATTACCCCAGCTTTTTGCCAATGGTTTGTGAAAGAAGTAAGTGTCTTTAGCTTCCTCATAATGGTAAGCCAGCCCCATAAAGTACCCGTCACTTCTTGGTGACTCAGAAAGCATTCTTCTTTCATGTGTTAGAGATGTAACTCTTTACTGAGTTAATCCTTCAACTCAAGTGAAGTGGGATTAGTGAGTTGCTTCACTGATAATTGAGTTAATATTCTGATATTTTTCTAATGGATGCAAAATCAGTTTTATTGGAGGGTTAACATATCCAAATGTAGAAGATACACTTTGGAGATGAGTTTGAAGCCCGGCTATGCCTAGGGGTGAGCAAATTTTCTAACACTGAGACCCCTAGTTTCTCATCTGTAAAAGGGCGAATGGATTATTTTGTGGTTCTGTTGTATAGATTAAGAGACGTGGCATATGGAAAATGCCTAGCATAGTGAATGTGTGTGTAGGTGTATTACTTATAGCCTTCCCTTGAGGGAATAAGAAGACTTTAAAAGTAATATAGGATTATTTTGGTCAGATTTTTCAGAAACCCAAACTGAAAAACTCACGAAGTATAGTTTCCCAGACCAACAGCTTCCAAATCAACTGGGAACTTGTTAGAAACACAAATTCTTGGGCTCCATTTCAAACCTGGTGAATTAGAAACGCACAGGGGTTGGGGGCTGAGAAGTGAGGCAGGGGTGAGGGAAAGCAGAGCTGAATAATGTGTGTTTTAACAAGTTCTCTAGGTGACTCTGGCACATGATAAGGGTTAAGAACCACTACCATACAAGATAAGACAATTAGGGGCTGGTGGCTGAGGGTGGAGGTGACATGTACTGTCACCTCTTAGCATTAGGCTAAAATTGGCAGAAAATTAAGAGAGAAAAAAACCCCTGCCCAGAATCATTCTGAATCTTTCTCTCTTCAATTTTCAGATTCTGCAAAACCATAAAGACGACTCAAGGATAAGCAGGTTGCTTACGAACCTGGACCTGTATGTACTGCCAGTTCTTAACATCGATGGTTATATCTACACGTGGACGACTGTGAGTACACTGAGCTTGGTCTTGGGGTGTATTCCTGAACTAAAGCCCAACTCAGATTCCTTTTCTCTTTTTGTTCTTCTCTTTTATTTTTTATGAGACAGAGTCTCACTCTGTTGTCCAGGCTAGAGTTCTCTGGCATCATCACAGCTCACTACAACCTCAAATACTTGGGTTCAAGCAATCCTCTTGCCTCAGCCTCCTGAGAAGCTAGGACTATAGGCACCTGCCACAGTTCCTGGCTAGTTTTCCTATTTTTAGTAGAGATGGAGTCTCACTCTTGCTCAGGCTAGTCTCCAACTCCTCAGCTCAAGGCATCCTCCCACCTAAGCCTCCCAAAATGTTACCATTACAGGTGTAAACCACTGTGCCCAGCCTCAGCCATTCCAGCCATATATAGAAATATTTTGTACCTATGTAAAGGGTGAAACTCCATTTGGGATAAAAATACTCTTATGTATTTAAAGTAAACAATCTGAGTCAAGTTTAGGACTAGGAAGTCTAATTCCTTTTTAGAGCTGAAGTCCAGTCTAGGTTTTTCTTTGTTTTTGATATAGTCCCAGTTTTCCAATCAGAGTAGACTTGTCTCTTCCTCCATCTTCTTAATATTTGTGGATTGCCTGACACCCAATTAGGATTGTATTGATAAAAAAAAAAAATCATACACCAACCTCCTCCCCCTCAAGTCAGTTCTAGAAGCAGGAAGGGAATGAATGATGTATACATCAAAAACAGCCAAAAAAATTTATGGAGGATACCAAGCTACATATCTCAGTGTGATTATTCACACAGGGGCAAATATGTCATAAAGGCTTTCTATGTGGTAGACAATCTACTCTTTGAATGTTTCCAAGCACATCACTCCACTAATACGAGCCTGTGTTCCTAGCGAGCGTTCATTGTTCCCTCCACTTCCCCCAGAGGCCCCTTTTTTCTGGAACAGCCTCTCTGGCCTGATGTATGAATCATGTCCTCCCTCTGAGCTTGTCTGGTGACACTTGTCTTTATCCTCATCTCCACTCATCAGTCTTTGGCTTCCAGAAATGTGCAGAGACCATATCTGATACACCTGGAATGGTCTTTCCCATCTGTCAAGCTATTTCCCTTTCATCCTGCATCACTTGGATGTAAAAAATGACTCTGGAGCATTCCCTGAGTAAGCGGAACACGTCCACAGACACTGCAAACCTGCTTGTGAGGAAAAGGCTGTGCTGGATTGTGTACACGTATGTGTACTTGTTATTGCACAGGTGTTCCTGTTACTCGGGGTTGCTTAGCCCGTCTGCAAGACTAAAAATTACGTACACAAATATGATTTAACATTCACTGGGTTACCATTAAGTTCTTCCACATATTCCTAGGAAACATTTTTCACGTTCAAGGATCACCTATCATCACTAATGCTGTGATTTATGAAACCTTAGAATGGCAACAGCCCTCCATTCTTCTGTTGCAGAATCGTCTTTGGAGGAAATCCCGTTCATCTCATAATAATGGCACATGTTTTGGGTCAGATCTCAATCGAAATTTCAATGAATCTTGGTGTGGTAAGTATGTATATTTTTATTAGATGATGAACAAATAAATAGAGAAGCAAGAAAAGAAGTAAATTACTAAAGATATAATTTTTGAGAATAAACATCTAATTTTACACAGTTTTCTGGGTTTTATAACCAGTTTCAGTTCCTCAAAAGGGACCATATGATCTATATATTGAGAGCCATCAGCCCTCAAGTACAGGTTGGCTACATGAGGACAATGTAGACCTAGACCAGTATGAATATATTTCAAGTTCAACCCTTTGTTTTTAAATACCGTTGAATCTCCATAGCTGACCACCTTCTTAAGTTGACCTAATTTTCGTAGACCGGACATGCACTCCATGTACACATCAGTACAGTGGGCCTAGTTCCTTATAGTGACCACCTCTTTATGTTGACTAGCTTGTCACAATCCCTTGGGTGGTCAACTTATAGTGGTTCTACTCTATATGTATTTATCTTAAAGAAAAGAATCAGAGAATTATCCTTGCAGATTATTTTACAGCAGGGAGTGGGCAGTAAACAAAACAAACAGTTTCTTCTTTTTATGATTTTCATGTTTCAGAACCTCAAAATGCCCAGTGGAATGGAAGCAAGTAAAGAGGCAGGAGTGGTTAAGGGCATTGCCATTAACCAGACTGCAAAGGTTAACATGGAGATTTGGCCTCTGTGTGGTCTTGGAAAAAATCACTTCATCTCTCTACTTTCGTTTTCTCTTATGTAAAATGTTAGTCACAACATCCCTTCTTATCATTAGGCTATTGTGGGGATTAAACATGATGCTACACAGGAGGGCTGGGCATACACGCTGGTACTATACCTAGCGTGTAAGAGGGACTTGCCTGGTAATCCTGATTGATGAGGAGGACAGCCTACTTACATCCTTGCCAATCGGCTCTTCTGAGACTCAAGCCAGTAAGACACTGAAGGCGAGACTTTAACCAACAAGGCTATATCAGAGCCTGACCTAGGAACCCAAGAACTGGTTCCCTGGTGTTTGTTTTGGGGCACGCCACAGGGTTAAGTAAAAGATTGCTGAAATGTCATTTCATTTTGCATCTTGTTTATTGGGCCATGCAAATATGGAGTTTGCTTGTCAATCTTAACATCAGTCTTCTTGCCTTTCTGAGTTCCTCCTAGCATGACTATTCTATCAGTGACTAATTTAGCCAGACAACCAAGGGCAAGCCCTGATTTCACCTACAGATGCCCTAAGGATGACTTTTTGCCCTCTGTCAGTTTGTAAAATGTGAAAATAACTAACATTTGCCTGGATCTTAACAATTTACAAAGCAATTTTATGCTATTGTCTCATTTGACCCTCTTAACGATGTATTAATCTCACTTTAGAGATGGGGAAACTGAGACCCCGAGTTAACTTTATCTACAGAAGTCTCTGAACAGGCAGTGGTGGGGTGGAGACTCCAGAGGCCACACCCATCACCCTACTACCTCACACTGCCTCAGAAACGTCCATCTGCTCACAAGGGGTTGCCCTCTGCCATTTCTAAACTGAGATCATGAAGCCATCTCTATGGTTTCCTGTATGTTTCAGGTGTAGGCGCATCTAAAGACTGTAAAAATTCAAAATTCTGTGGGACAGGATCAGTATCTGAACCAGAGACTAAAGCTGTTTCCAGCTTTGTAGAGAGCAAAAAGGACAACATTCTGTGCTTCCTGACCATGCACTCTTATGGGCAGTTAATCCTCACACCTTACGGCCACACCAAAAATAAGTCGAGTAACCATGAAGAGCTGGTAAGTGCAGGGCCCCGTCTAGTAGGACACAGCAGGACCTCTGCCTTCCTTTTCCTGGTTTCCATTTCCCAGATCTGGGCTCCTGCCTCCTTTTGTTCTCTCTTCTCATCCTTATTTTCTTCCTCCTGCTTTTGCACCTTGCCAGATGCCTGCTGGGAAGGCTTCAGGTTAAATGCTGCTTTACCTACATTAATTAACTACCTGTTTCATGAAGTGTCAAGTTGGGAGACATCTTCGGTATTCTTCTATAATATAAATGAGATGATTATGTTAATAATCTGCAGGAATGAGCTTTCATTTCTGTAAATTCTCTCGCAGCTCTGTTCGGCAATTACAGCTTTTGAACTGTGCTTGAAAGAACTTGCCAGCTGTTAGTGGAATATGGCATATCTAAAATAACACGGCTAAATAATATCTGCTCTCTTCTCTGCTAAACACAATGCTCTATTTTCTTCTAAACTCTTCCTCCAGTATTTGCCTAGGATTATTTGTAAGGGGAAGTGCCAGTGAAATGCAAGCCGGGGTAGGGAATCTGTGTTTTCTCTCGTCCGGGTCTTGCTCTGAAGCTCTGTTTACCCAAGCACCAGTAGGCAGAATTGCTGGAAGGGACAGGGCTCTTTGTCCTTCTGTGAATCAAAGGACAACAGACACACATCAAAGGCAGGGTAAATTTAGAATCATAAATCATAATATTTGTTTTCCTTTTTTATTTATTTTTAAAATTTTAATCATAGTCTAGTAAACATAGCATCAAATTTACCATCTTAACTCTTTTTTTGCAGTTTTTGACCCAGGCTGGCTTTGAACCCGCCACCTCTGGCATATGGGGCCAGCGCCCTACTCTTTTGAGCCACAGGTGCTGCCCATCCTATTTTTTAAGTATACAGCTCTGTGGTGTTAAGTATATTCACGTTGTTGTGAAATCAATTGCTAGAACATTTTCATCTTGCATAATTGAAACTGTACCTATTAAACAACAAATTCCCATTTTCCCCTATTCCAGTTCCTGGCAGCCACTATCCCCTTTCTATTTCTATGAGTTTGACTACTCTACATATCAAAAGAGGAATTGTACAGTATTTGTCCTTTAATGGGTGGCTGATTTCACTTAGCATAATGTCCTCAAGGTTCGTCCATGTTATAGGGTGTATCAAAATGTCCTTCCTTTTTTTTAAGACCAAATAATATTTCATTATATGTCTATTTCACATTTTGTTTATCCTATCTGTTCATCAGAGGACACTGGGTTGCTTCTACCTTCTGGCTATTGTTAACAATACTGCTATGAATGTGAGTGTGTAAACATGTCTTCAGACTTTGCTTTCAATTCTGCGGGTTCTATACCCACAGTAGAGGTTGCCGGATCATATGGTAATTCTATTTTTAAATTTTTGAGGAACCACCATACTACTTTCCACAGAGTCTGCATCATTTTATATTCCAACCAATAGTGTGTAGGGGTTCTAATTTCTGCACATTCTTGTCAATACATATTGTTATGTTCTTCTTATCTGTTAATTTTTTAAAAAACAGATTATGTGCAGTTTCTGGGATATGCTGTGGCTAAGCTTGGTCAGTTCTTAATATCACGAGGGCTGGTTACCTTGTGGTCAGGTTACACCTCCTGTCCCTCTCCCACTGGGATGTGACCCACAAAACACAAGGTTTGGATGCTAAAAGAAAAGGCAGTATAGATCTTTGGTAGAGGGAGCCTTTCCACCATAAGTCAAACATATCCAACAATACCCAAATACTTTTCTTGCAAGGATTTTTTTCCTCTTTTCATCTAGGGATACTTGTACTAAATAGTCATTTTGTAAAATGTGAAAATAACTAACATTTGCTTGGATCTTTATAATTTACAAAGGGATTTTACAGCTATTGTCTCATTTGACCCTCTTAACAATGTATTAATCTCACCTTAGAGATGGGGAAACTGAGACCCTGAGTTAACTTTACCTACAGAAGTCTCTGGACAAGAAGTGGTGGGGTGGAGACTCCAGAGGCCACACCCACCACCCTATGACCTCACACTGCCTCAGAAACATCCATCCGCTCACAAGGGGTTAGCAACTTCTAGGAGCTCTTATCAGTCTAAATTCCCAGCCACTAATATGCTATTTCCTCCTCATTTGTGAGCCCTGTAAGTTCTATTTCTTCAGTAGAGAAATCTACAGAAACAAAGATCTTGGTCAAGAAGCCAAGAATCTTCCTTATCCCCAGTTGCCATGATATTTGTTAGAGATTTCTACTTTTTGCCCAGAGGGATCTGTGACAAACACAAATGAAATTTCCAAAGACAGGCCATTATAGGCATTTCATGGAAAGGGGTTTTCCTTCAATAGAAAAAAAGAGGCTACATACTCCAGTTTTTGCCTCGGGTACTTCATTCTCTCATTGGCTCAGGAAAACAGATCCTACATGACCATTTTGCAAGGTTTGCATTCAAAGGTTAGAGTGTCCTGTGCTGTCTGGTTAGAGCCCTGTGGCCAAACCTAGGGGGAGCAAGAAGTCAGCAGGGGCCCAGGGCTGTGACATCACCATTCCTGGATAGTGACCCCAAGACGGGAATTCCTGACAACTTCTCCATACTATGTGCAGAAATTGTAAAAATCAAATAGAAAATGATCGCTTTAAATCTCTTACAGTCTCAGGTGATGAAGAGTTCTCATAAACAGTCATATACAAGCCTTTTCAATAAAAGATGGTGTGAAAATTTTGCTACCATGCATCAGCCTTATTGAAGCTACTTAGAATGCTTTTAGGTTCTTGGGGGGTAAGTTTTGATACAGTGCGCAAAGATACAAATCAAGCCAACTGCTCCAAGAAGATTTCCATTTCTAGTACTGTTTACAACCAGCAGAGACTAATAATTAATCTCTATATATTTACAAAACCAAAGATTTGTAGAAATCATGGTAAATATTATACTGCATGACAGACAACTTGGCAATCACTCTGTAGGAGAAACATGACTATATATAGCCCCTTTCTAAACTGCTCTGGAAATTAGTGTAGCAATAAGAATTCTAATGTTTTACATGCTTGCATTTTTTTCCATTTGAACTCTTTCCATATCAACCTCTGTACTCTTTCAAGCTGTCCTCTCCCTTCCCCAGCTCCCATGATGTACCAGGGCCTTAATCAATCTTGTTGGGTGCCTGCTGTGAATATATGCCTATAGGAAATTCTCTGGGCCCAGGAAGGAGTTATTAAGTGGGGAAGAGGTTTTTATCCATGTGTATTATGTCTACTGGTAAAGAGTTTTTATTACTTTTACTAGGAAAATGGCAGTGGAGAACCTGGCTCTCTGTGACCTTGCAATATGGTGCTAGAAGCAGAGAATAGTACAGTCAAGGGTTCCACCCCTGAAAATAGAAGTGGGAACTGGAAGTCTGGGGGATTTCCATTTTATCTTCTCAGAGAGAACCAAATCCATAAGCTAAGGATTACAATCGTACACTTCTGACGTATATTTCTTACTCCTATCTATTTCCCCATAGTCATTGCTTGTGGAATTATTAAAAAATTACAATTCAAAAGTTCTTTCATCAACAAAGAAGGGGAAACTGGGAAGACCATTTCCCACCCTATATTCAGGATTTGAGAGAAAGAAACTAAAATAAAATAAGATAGAAAGGCTGGCTACAGGAAGAAGAAATTGTTGCAGGAAAGGAAAAAGAAAAAAAAAAAGACAGGGAGCCATTTGTGTGTCAAGCACAGCCTAGGGGTGATCCATATATTCCATAAGGCCCCACATGGACCAGTTAGTATGGAGTTTCATTCAGAGAAACACAGCAACACATAAGAATGAAAAATAATTAGAAGCCATTTGTGTCTCTTCTAGAGACTCTCCAAAGAGGAGTGTGGTTTGTAAATCACAGCAAAACTTTCCCCAGGCCTTGTCTCTTTATTTCCTCACACACAGACCCTTCCCTGAATTCTTCCACCTCTCGCTCTCACCTTCTTACCAGAATTTCTTTCTCAGAAATCTCCTTTCTGACTCTCCCCTCTGTCTTACAACTTCCTCTGTTTTCTATTAAATAGCTCTTGTACCTTTTCCCATTGCAAATGATTTAACAAGCTTTCCACCCAGTGCCTCTTCAGCCTTTCCTGCCCATTATCTGAATTCTGGACAACACAAACCCATGGACTGGGGTAGACTCAGAATCTCTTTTCAGGAAGGCAGAGAAAAGGTGACTGGCCAAAGATAGAATTCTCGGTAGTGTGTGGAGAGAAGGCAAAACATTTGCGGATATGTTCAACTGAATGGTTTTTTTTTTTTTCTTTCATCTTAGCCACACATAGAAAGTCCTACATGCCCTAAGAATGCTACCCACAATTGCCACATATGATCCCCTCAACCACACACTGTCCCTTTCCTTTTCTGTTGTTTATTTTGAATTTCACTAGGCCTTTCCCCACCATACCCAAGCACTACCCTGGATAGTACAGAGACAGGAAGGGGGAGACAGAACCTGAAACTAGGCTCAACCTGAGTCAGAGGAGTTGATGTGCCTGCAAACACAGCCAGGCTGCCCTTGGGGATTAAGCAGTATGAATCAAAGCCTGGACAGGTATGGCAAAGGGGTTCTGGTGGTGGTGTATAGAATCTAAGGGCAAGGAGTAAGATATACCATCCTGGGGTAGGACATAGCACTGGAGAGTCTAGGATAGGGAATATTTAGAGAGTCTATTGAGAGACCTGTGCAAAATTTATTAAATCAATGAGCATAGTCAAGACACTTGAACTTTAGGTAATGATTTTGCTCTCAGGAAAGGGTCTGCTGATCAATTTCTGAGAGATTTACAATGTCGTGAGGTGATATTGGTGGAGGACATGGGGACACAGGTGTAACTCTTGCTCTGAGATTCTATGAGTCTATGAGCGATAAGTTTCAAGCATCTATAAGAAAAAATAAGGGGAGTCCTAGAAGGTATAAACAGAGTGTGAGGGGATAGTCAAGCAGGGAGAGAGAGAATCCAATTTGGGTGGTCAGACGAGGCCTTGTGGAGAAGCTGACATTTGGGGAAGCTCTTTGAGGTTGGATAGAATTTCAACAGGTGTGGATAAGAAGTAGTGATCCTGGTAGCAGTGGTTCTCAACCTTCCTTTAATACAGTTCCTCGTGTTGTGATGACCCCCAATCATAAAATTAATAATTCTCACAGTATTAGGAAGGTTGAGAACCACTGCTAGAGGAAACACCCAGAGAAAAGTAAAGAGGCGGAGGGATGTGGGGCATGTCAGAGAACAGTAGGAAAACTTGAGTTTGACTAAATCTAGGGTGGAGGTGTTGGAAATTGGGTTAGGGTCATAGGGTAGGGGTTCTCAAAATAAGTGAATGAAGCTTGTGCTTAATTCAGCGAGCAACCAGGAGTTACTGAAGGCTTTTCTGTAGGACCATGACCACAGCTCTATGCTTCTAAACTGCACCTGGAAGCCAGGTGGGATCAATTGGAATGAAGATTGGTGAGAGGAAGGGAAACTCATTAGAAGATGCAACAGACTGATTCAGAGGTAATGAGTCTGAAACAGGGTGATGGCCCTGGGAATGCAACTTGGTAACTCTTTGAGAGAAGGAATATCAAAAACGCCTGCTGAATTTTACAAGTGCATTTGGGAGAGCATGCAAGACCAGAAATATGAAAGTCAGAATAGTCTTATTAGTGGGAGATTTAGTGGGAGAGATGATGAAATTGGATGTGAGTGTGTTGAATCTGAGGTACCAGCGGGTTACCTTGATGTAGTTGTCCAATAGGAAGTTAGAAAGATGCTCTAAAACTCTGGAGATGGATAGGGACAAAATACCAAACCTTGGATTGTTGAATTTATTTTTAACACCAGATATCTGTCTCTACATTTCCCACCTACAGATTCAAGTTGGACAGAAGGCAGCAAATGCATTGAAAGCAAAGTATGGAACCAATTATAGAGTTGGATCGAGTGCAGATATTTTATGTAAGTATCTTTTTTTTTTTTTTTTTTTGCCTCTTCAATAGTATCTAACGCACAAAAGAAGCCAGTGGACTTTGGTGGTGAGCTGGGCAGGAGAGGAAAAGAAGAGTTCTTGGGATCAACAGAGAGTTGTACAAATCAAAATGACCAAGAATAAAAGAGAGTCTGTATAAATCCAGAATTATACTCTCTAGGGATAAGCCATGAGCTAAAAGAAAAAAAAAAATTAATGCACTGGCTCAGATCAGAACTTCCCCTGGCTTCAGTTAAAAAGAGCTAGCAAGTTGGAAGGCACAGGAGTTAACAGGAAGGACACCATCCACTGACCCTTGGTCAGTTGGTTCAGTTTGCAGAGGACCCATCAGGTTAAGAAAGCAGAGCAGGGTGGGGCCTGGAGAAAGGATGGACAAGGAAAGAATTTAGTTCAAAGGAGACTGCACTGCATCCCTCAGCCCCAGCCTCCACCTCCTACATGGGCTCACGTAGATAATATTTTCCCTGGGGATCATTTTGTTTCTGTTCCTTGATATGAGTCATTTCACTCTTGCCTTACAATGTGACCTTGCCTCATCTTCAATTCAACTGAAAAATGTGAACCAAATCTCTCCATGTGCCATACACAGTGCTAGGTACTATGGGGCCAGGGAGGCTATATGAGATATGCTCCCCATCCATAGGGGGCTTCCTGTGAAGGACAGGGAGAAGACAGTGTCCCTGAAACGATCATCTGAGAGAGTTTATTTCAGTGACTGAACCTTTATTCCCTCAAATGGGTATGGAATCTGTCCTTTCAAAGTTCAATTTCTACATTTGCCCTCATGTTTCACTTGTAGATGCTCTGTCGGGGTCTTCAAAAGACTGGGCACGAGACATTGGGATCCCTTTCTCATTCACGTTTGAGCTGAGGGACAATGGTACACATGGGTTTACTCTGCCGGAAGTTCAGATCCAGCCCACCTGTGAGGAGACAATGGAAGCTGTGGTCTCCATCCTGGATGATGTACATGAGAAGTACTGGCCCTTGAGTGGTGCTGGGACAGTGGCATCTGGCACCATGGTGCTGAGCTTGCTGTTGCCCTTTGCTGGTCTTCTCTGAGTGCATCCTACCTGGCCCGCTCAACTCAGGACATGGATGTGGTTGGAGGCAAGGCATGCTGTGGTTGCAGAGAAATCAAATAATTTAACTAAGCTATTTTCTATTTTAATAAAAAAAAATCACATTTTAATTTCAATATTTGTTTTGCTGGTAGTTAATTTTTATTACCTTATAAGAGTATAGTGTTACTTAGTGATTACTACAATAATGCTATAAGCCAAACCCTTCTAAAGCCCAGTGGTAGGAATGAACAGTCAGGGAGGAAGTTCTGCTGATCTTGGCTGTGCTCGCTTATGCATCTGTAGTCGGTTTCATGCAGCTGGTTGATCCTGCTGAACTCACTGTGGGGGTTGGCTCACTGTCAGCTAGTCAGAATAGCCTCGGCTGGGATGAGGAGCTGTGCTGTGTTCCATGCGTCTTCTCCTCCAGCAGGCTGTGCCAGGCATGCACTCGTGGCTACAGTGCAGGAGAAAGAGCAAGAGAAGGGCAAGTCCCAGTGCTCAGGCCCTTTTTAAACCCCTGCTTGCGTCACATTTAGCTAACATCCCAGGATGCCCCATGGCTAGGAAATCACATGGCTAAACTCAGCTTTGTGGGGTGGGGCAGAGCAAAGGTAGGTAAGGATGGAAGAACTGGGACATCAGTGAAGTGTGTTCCCCGGTGCTTAATGCCACGCTCTTCACAGAGCTCACAGGTTTAACTTCATATGCAGGACAGCTCAGCCAGAAAATAAGGCAATTCAACTAGATTGCTATTGTGCTATCTGGTTTTAAACCTCAAGAAGTTCATAAATACCAGTGGAACCCCACTGCTCTTGAAATCTAATTAAAAGTCATATGATGAGATTCTGATAGGTTTTTTTGTGTGTGTTCAATTAATTGTTTGTGCTTTATGATCTCAGCACGCCCTAAAAAATGATGTAGGAATAGATTTTCTGGTCTGGGGTCTGAGGATTTTTTTTCTCATCTAACTTCTTTTATTATTATTATTATTATTTTACAGAGACAGAGTCTCATTATTTTGCTTATGCCACTGAACCAGGTTCTAGCTTAATTTTGTGTTAATGAGTTTTAGTAGCAGCATACTCAGAAGATAAGTTGTAAACTCTCTCTGGACCGTTGTTGCTGGTTTTATTAATTATTTGTTAAAAACAAAATGTTGAGAATCTACTAGGCTTTGGGGTTACAGTGGTGAAGAAGAGAGATGTGGTCCCTACCAGTTTGGAATTTATATCAGGTGGATGAGATCCGTAGTAACAGACATAAATAATTGGAATGGACACACTATTGTATACCAGGCACACCCAGCCCTGGGGGAGCCATAACAAGCAAGAACACAAATAAATAAACTAAACATTGCAGCTTATAACACATGCTATGGAACAAATAAAAAGTAAGTGGAGAGATAAGAAAGGCCACATTGTATGTTCATGGCTATATCCCCATCTAATTGTGCTATCTCATCTATTAGATTTTAAGTGCTCTTAAAGTAGGGTCCATGATGGCCATTTCCTGTGTATCTCTATGTGACACCTTGAAATAGTGCTAAGTACTTGTCAGGCTTTGAACAAATGTAACTGTGACCAGCCCACAGGGCATCCAAATTTCCTTGTTGGTTACAGTCACAATACACTTCTTGGTTGTAACCCTTTTATTGCCTTTTTTTGTCCTCTTTATTTCTTCACGTTTTGCTAGTGTGTGGCCAATAAGGTCAGAAAGGAAAATGTCAAGGGCAATAGGGTTTAATGAGTCAGAGAATAGCTATTTACATAAACATGCCAACTCCACAATTGTGGCATTGTCAGGAGAAAACGGCTTGGTTTCAATGGTCAACCTAGAAGGGAAGAGAAGTGATGTGACCACCCCGTGCTGTATTCAAGAAGAAAGCAAGGGAGCTATGTTGGTTTAGATTATCAGTTTTAATTTTGCCTGTCTTTTAGTTTCCAAGGCTATATCGGGAAAGGGGTGAGGGAGGGGAGGGGAGGGGGGAGGATGGGTGAAGGGAGGATGATTGCGGGGATCACGCCTATTTTTCCTATAAGGGTACATGTGAATCTTTCTAAATGTCGAATATAAATGTCTTAACACAACAATTATGAGAAAGACATGATAGCTATGTTGGCCAATTGGATGAAAGTATTTCAAATTGTATATGGAAACAACACACTGTATCCCATGATAGAATTAATGTGCATAAATATGATCTAATAAAAAAAAGAGCCCAGAAAAAATATATAATTTGGACCTCTGATCTGCAAAGTTTAATTCATGTCCAAAGATGGAGCCCATGGGCAAATAAAGTTGGAAGAGAACAGATGGAAACCCAATCGGCTTGTCTGAAGCCTTCCACATGGATTATTTTTGACTCCAGGACACTCACACATCTTCCTTGAGGGGCTTCCTGTATCTCTAAAGGTATGGGGCACTGAGGGACCTGATGTATTTCTTTCTTCTTCTGTAAGTTTTTTACTTCTTGTGAAAGGATTCTAAGAACAAGGACAGAAAGATGATGAATGAACATTTGATCTTTTTAAAGGGTGTTTTCTACTCACTGGTCTAAAATGGTGATCATTTGGGAAAACTTTCCAACTGATGCAACTAACACCATCTTGAGGGTATCTTGTATTGTGGTGGCTTTGAACTTGGGATTTGATTGTATCCTATGAAAGCTAACTTGTTGTTTCATGGATGTCAGTAGAAGGCATGAAACTTCCAGAGTTAAAGGACATTATCTTTCATGGCACGCCAAGCAGAATGTGCACCAGCATATTTACACTGGTTCCCCCTGGTCCTGGGTTCTAGCAGGATACAAAGAGTCCAGATGCCCCACCCACAAGCATCAAGTTGTTACACAGGAGAAACTCAGCTTGAGAACCTATTGCTTATATAGCAAGCAGTAAGCAAGCCTGGACTTGGTCACTCGAAGTTGTTTGCTGCAAATGAAACTCTGAGAAATGGCACAGGCAGAGAAGGGTCAGAGCCTTGTCGTCTTGGCACAGGCAGCAAGACATGCGGGACAGAAGAGGGGCATAAAGGACTGTCTGCCAGCAGGCTTTATGGAGCAGATTGAATTCTATGAAACTGCTGTTTTCACAGGTCAAAAAAGTCCAAATCTTGGTGACTTTCTATGCTTCAATTTAAAATCATCTCAGTGCTAATGGAAATATGTCCATAATGCCTTCTCTTTTATTTTTAGGAAGTTTGACTAGACTGCTTTTTCTGTTACTATTTCTTTCCTTCCACCAAGCTCTTGTCAGTGCTTTTCTTCATAACTATTCCCATAAAGGATCTAGATCCTCTTGACTTATAGGTAAATTTAGAGTTTAAAATGATGCAAAGTGACAAATTCAGATGGTTTCCAAGCCTCTAGCTTTAATTTTTTTTTTACAGCAGTGTCAAAAAAATGAGTTATATTTTCGTTTCCACTATGTATGAACAAACTCCTACCTCCCTTTTTTTCTTATGCGGTTTACCAATCTCCCATGTTATTAAAAATACATTCTTTACATCACCTCATTATTATCCTTATCTTATGTATATAATTCGAATCTGTCATAAATTTATTACAGCACTAAGTGAACTCCACTGTCCAAGTATATTAAATTGTAATACTAAGTACCAAGGACTTTGAAATGACTAACATTAATAATTATGAATTTCTGTTATGATGTGCAGTGATCAAAATACATTCTGTTACCTAGTGTGATTCTCATAGGAACCCTGAGTCAGGTACTTCTATCTACTTGATGGAGAAAGTGAGACCAAGAGAGATTGAGAACCACGCAGGGTCACACTGTCCTTAGTAATTGTCGATTGATCAGATAACTTATTGGGAAAGGAATTTTCTGGTTCTTGGATGGCAGAAGTCCTCTCTAGAGGACACTGTCAGTGCTTTCCCAAACCCCTTCAGGCTCCTTCTCCTGCATCCTTCTCCAGCTTTGATACGGTTTTTGCCTCCAACAGCTTATACCTGGGTGACTTTTTCCAGTACCTGCCCTTGGGCCACTGCATGTATTTTGCTTACAGCCACAGAGAGCTAGAAGTGTCTGGGTGTTACGCTCAGCACCAGAAATCCTTAGCCCCTGTCTGGATGGCGGCGGCCAAGGAGTGCAGTAGTATGGAAGCCCAGTTCCCTGGCAGTGGGAAGTGTAATCTATACTCCAGAGATCCTGCAGGACAAGGCGGGAGTTCCCCTCCACAGCACTCTCCTCGAGGTGGCCCCCTTGCTTGGCTTCCTTCTTTTCTTTGTTTCACTTCCTCACTCCCTTACCCACTTCTCTTGGTAGCACGTCCTTGATAAATCATCTGAACATGGATCCTTATACCTCCACCTGCTTCTAGGCAACCCAATGTAAGATAATCCCCTTTGGAAATACTACCAAAGCATCTTAAATTTTTAATTTCCTAAAATGACCCTTAATACACATTATTACTATTGTTCAATACTCAAAATATGCCTGAGGATTACAAATGTTGTGTAGCCAGAAACATTTCTATTTTGAAGATGTTATCATTTGAGAACATGGTGCCGAGTCTTATTCCAGATGAGATTTTACTTGGGAAAACATCATTTCCAGTTAAACCTCTTACTGAAGACACAGTAAAAAAAAGATTAGCCTTTATGGACTTGTAAATTTTGAAGTATGGGTGTTATGATAAGACTTTATGAGGAAATAATAGCCGCTTAGTATAGTTTTCCACTCCACTGTAATCAAGACTGCGTAGTCTTTTCTTAGCTACCCTGACACAGGAATTTTATTTCTTTCTGAGGATTCATGTAAAATAATAAAAAATAAAGCTCAAAAGAGTTTTTATGGTGGATGTATTAACTCCTACCCTGCTGGCATGTTCCCTTCCTGTGGAGCTCTAATTATATTTTTTTCTTATAATTTTTTCTTTTTCAAAAACACATTGATGAGAGTCAGCTCCAAAATGATGTTTCAGATCAAAGATGAGCAGTATTCTTTCTCTTTACATAGACAGTACAAAAAGCAGATTAATGTCTATTCACATCCTGGGTTTGGAC